CAAGTATCGTAAATCATAGTTAATATTTCGTTTGATATTATAGCTGTACAATAAATAAGTCTTACAAAATATAAAAAACAAAAATTTATGATTTTTAAGCAATTATCACTTATGAAGTGAAAATCGTTGAGCTAGGCAAAAAAAAAGGTTAGGTCTTTTGGATTCTCATGGTCGGAGTGAGTAATGAGTAATGATATATAGTCATTGTATATTTAATAAGATTACAGGTGGTATTTTTTATTTATATACCAATAAATTCAATTATATTTCTGTTTTATATTTTTAATGTTATACTTTAATTTTGTTAGTAAACAAAACATAAAAATGAAAATGCTTAAGATGAATATCAATATAATATATTATGTAATTTAAATAACTATTTTATATTATATTATATAATATATAAATATATTTRTACACAAATTATTTTTATTTTTACYGAGRTAAAATATGTTTATAAATAAATTCAATTATTTTTTTTTATTTGACATGCGTAAATGCGTAATACGTAATGCTTATTACTTTAAAGCGACGTATTAAAAGTTTTGAAATYGARTATTAAAAAATGGTTTGAGAATGTATTAAATCTTCTTCCTAAATTCTTGATTCATTCATCAGTTTAAAAAGTATTGTTTTARTTGAATAAAAAAWAAATCACCCATTGGCTGGTTAATTTATGTAACCTTCGATAATTTCATGAAAATTAATTAGATTTATGACAAATGTAYACAATGAATTTGTAGAATATCATTTATTTATTTGTATTTTACATGAGGTACTGACATGATTCATCTATTCGTGTAATCGTGTAACCATGTCTATTGAAACTATTCAAGCAGGTATTATTATTTTACGACATATCATTATTATATTGAATATTTGAATGTTGTATGACGTGTTGTGTTATCATTGTGAACCCCATAAATAATTACTAATATGTAGAATGTTTTATTTGTATATTATTTTCTCGACGAAACGATTACATTTTATTAGCAGAACAATTAGAACAGAATTGAATAAATTTTAAATATTATTATCTTTCARATATTCTCCCGTGCGAATCGTAACCACTTGAACTGTGATTAGTTATCAAGTATACCTAAACACTATCAACGTTAAATTAAATACTCAATGCTTATATAACAATAAAATATCGATAGAACATTGAAGTTCATCAGACATTAATTAACCGGAAWTCTTAAATTAATAAGAATTCGGTTATCCTATTCGCTATTGATTGAGTACTTTCAGTAAAAAACGAGATATAAAAATATTAATTTCTTTAAAACCATAACTCAATAATTCATAACTCCATAATTCAATTCGGTTATATCGTTACACAGTTTTTTTTTTTTTTTTTGTCATTACGTTTTAGACTAATAAGGCGACGGTACAACTTAACCAACCTAAGTATTTTTGGCATYATAAGTCATAAACAATGGTGTATAAAAGAAAACTAATTTTGGCCGATTAATTATGCAATCGATTGACACTGTAGACCGCATATAATTAAAAACAATAATATAGTATTATATGCATGACGTTATCTGCACATAGCGATGACGGTTGTAAAATATTTTTGAAAATTTTAAAACGTCACACTGATATGAAATCGAAAGTTGTTACGGATTGTCGGTACACTGTATATTATGTTTCTCTATTTTTTTTTTTCGTCCATATGAGTCAGTTAAATTGTATGCAAATCATGTTGTACTTAAATACATTTTAATGACTGCGCACGCATAGAAAATTGTAGTAGTTTGAACACACTATAACGTGTTAAGGTAATATACATTTTTCGCTAAAAAGTTGAATATATTAATTGTTTMAAATACATTATTTCATTTTYAAAACATYAAACTTGTTGAAAATGCTTGATTTTTAAAGCCCGAGCAGGTTATTCTTATTCTAGCGGTTTTTCGTCTCCAGATGATTGAAACGCATTAACGTCGAACTTTTCGTCGTGCAAGTGTGCAATGACAATGGCGTAACGGACGTTTAAAAATAATTTATCGACCGGGAATGCGAC